CTCTCTCCAGCAGCTCCACATCCCTCTTGTCCTGTGGAGCCCAGAACTGGACACAATACTCCAGATGTGGCCTCACCAGGGCTGAGCAGAAGGGCAGGATCCCCTCCCTCGAGCTGCTGGAGACACTCTTCTTAACGCACCCCAGGATCCCATTGGCCTTCTTGGCCATGAGGGCAACTGCTGCCTCATGGTCAACTTGTCGTCCACCATGTTGCCCAGGTCCCTCTCTGCAGAATCTCCCCCAAACTTCCCCTTGAGGTCCTGGGGACAGAGCGCAGCACCCAGGCCAGTGTCTGCAGCCCAAGAGTCCCCCTCGGAGGGGTGGCCACGTGGCTCGTGGTGGCGTCTGGCTCCCAGCCCGGGCTTCTGCAACGGAATCCCAGCCGGGAGGGACGGAGCTGTCGGGAGCGTCGTCCTTGTTGCGGAGCGGCTGGGTCTGAACATGCAACGACCGTGGTTGTCTCCCCATGTGCAGAGGCTCCGGCTCCCCCTCTCCTTGCTGCGTTTTAACCGAAAACGGATTTCACTGGCAGCAGCAAAATGCCACCATAAAAATGCAGAGGGCCATCGTTCCCGGAGCGCTGCTGTGCCGCGGCGGGGAGACGGTTGCGTGACTCTCCATTTATGCATTCTTGGAGCCAAGAATTAAAATGCCTTGAAATTGGATTTGATAAATGGCTGCATTTTTTACTCAATATGGGGTTTGGGCTTTTGCAGCTAAGCAGGCTTTTAGTTTTGTCCTTTCTATTCTATTCTTTGTAGAGATTTCTCACCACTGAAGTGCCTGAACAATAGGTTAGCCCTGGCCCAGCTAACCACGCAGTGCAAATTGCTTTGAATGTGGTATTAATCAAAACAGCCATTGAAATGAAGGGATAACTGCTGAAATAGATTTGGAATAATCTGGAAATTAACAGAGCTTGTGCTGTGCAGGGACTGCAGATTTGCAGAGAGGGGTTATAGTGTCGTGCATAGTTTAATCTCCTCACGTAGCCACTGAGGACACGAGAGATCTATCGACTTCAGAAGGTTCAGGGCATCCGTCTGCTGAAAGTCTAAATACCTTTATGTACTTCAACATTTCCTGGATACTTTCATTTAAATACCATGAGGAAGAGCATAAATAAATGCATTCATATAGTCACTGAAAGGATTTTTATTTTCCAAGCTGTATGCTTTTTCTTCTGGACTGAAAAGTAAACTTGGGTCAAGCTAGTGGTAAATATGCATGCATGAAATGTATGTATTTCTTTTTAATGTAGATGCATGTGATGTTAAATGTAGATACACAGCTGTTGTATCCATTTTATATACAGCAAGTAGCATCAGAAGCCAGAGCTGGTAGAAAAAATATGCAAGTGGGTTTTTTTTCCTGCTTTTAACAGGCAATTCCAGTAACACTTTTGTCCCCTGTTCTTTTCCAGTGGAGCTGGAGCACAGGATCGATTTCGAGCTCAGGGAAGGTCTCGTGGAGAGCAGATACTGGTCTGCAGTCACGTCACACACTGCCTATTGGTCATCTCTGGATATTGCTCTCTTCCTTCTAACCTTCATGTACAAACACGACCAGGAGGATCCTGACAAATCCAATTTAGACACTATTTGAATTTTTGATTGGGCAGGGGGAGGGATAGGGGAAGAAATTTTAAAACCAGTGGCACAAAACTGATGTTTTACTGTTGATCTGCAGTATATAAGGCATGGAGGTTTCAGGTTTAAGTGCATGTTTGGATTTTTTCCTGTTTCTAAAGAGCAAAAATGATTTGTATTTCAAAGCACTTTATGGTTTTAAACGTTTTGCAGTGCTTAATTAGGCCTGAATTTATTCCAAATTCTCGTTAACTTTGACTGTATAAAAAGCCAATACGATGTGTAGCATCACGTATGCACGGTTGTGCAGTGTGCTGGGTGACATACTTGTTAATGACCATAATTGCTGTTTAGTTCATTAAAGTATGACAATTAGTTAATTAAATAACTAAAATAATTTCCATTAACAAAACATACGTTGGATACAAACCTAAAACTGCCATGTTCTGATGTTTTATGTATCAGTAAATAACAAATGGTGGTGTCATTTTTCTAGGATTTTATTCAGATCCACATCCTATTATCCACAATTCTGTTGCAAGACCATTCTGACTGCTGGTTTCTGAGGGCCTGTTATACATGACACATTTAGAAACTAATGCTGAAAAAGCATGAGGCAAATATTTGAAATACTGTAATTATAATTTATTATTATCTCTAGCTGTTTCATTTTATTCCAATGTATAAAACATTACTTTTTTACTGGTTTCTTTTGACATAATTTAAGAACCACATTTATTTTCTACAGTGTTAAGACTTTTTCTCAGAAATACATATCTTTGTACTACTATTCAAATGAAATATATGGACACTGTGGCACACTTTAAGTATTTTTTCATTAAAAATAAATATTTGTGGTTTCACACAAACAACGTTGGTCACATTCTTCTCAAAGGTAAGTGGCTGCTTCGCTTAGGCCTTTCCAGGCCACGGGTTTTTTCAAGCACGTGAAGGTCTTGGCCTCACGTTTGACTTGTTTTGTAGAGGATCCAGGAATCTTTTGCTGACTGTTATTAAACACATGTGCACACATATGTGTATAAAAATATATGTACGTATTTACATACCTGCAAAGAATATATCAAGAGGAAGGATGGCAGCAGAAAATAAACTTGGTGAGGCCTGGGGATACCAGCACTTGGATGAGATTTGTACCTGACTCTAATTCAGGAGGAGTTAGGAGAGAAGCAATGCAATGAAAGGAAATAATCTCCAAATGAAACACCCAAAGGTCATTGCTGAGATTTGAAAACAACACGTAGGGCTCTGGAGCGGCCGTGTCAGATATGTGACCTCTGGCTGGAGTGTTTATGATCCGTATGGCATGTTTGGAGGCTGCAGCATCCAGACTTTCGTTGGAGAAGAAGTCAATCTGGGGAGCTGGAGGATCGGGGGGTTCTCAGGGTGTGGGGGGCTGAGCCCCCTGCGGAAACGAGGAGGAATTGGGGCTTGGGCCCTATGTTGGGGTCAGGGGTTTGGGAATCACTATAGAAAGAAAAAAGTAATGCAAAAAAAGAAGAGAAAAAGAAAATGAGAGGGAAGATAAGGGCAGGAAAGCATTTCTAAACACAGTGACATGCTGAGCAAGGATCTCCCGATGCTATAAAAGACCATGTTCCTGCATGGATCTCTGCGGAAAAATTCCTTCTGGCCTCGGTGAATTGTGGCTCTCCTGCCAGGCATGTTTATCCTGGTGGACGATCAGTCATTAAGAGCTAAAAGAGACCCTGTGAAGCGAGGGAGTTTGGCACCTCAGCTCCAGAAAACAGGACTGTGCTTACGGTGCTGCTTTTCCAGATAGGCTCTTCCTAATTAGGAGAACTTTGGTGTAAAAGGGGGCCCTCCTTCTGCGTTTGCAATGTGCCCAACGTTGCAACGTGCTGCATCTCAGTGCTGAGGGGAGGTCAGCCCTGGTGTCCCCTTATACTAGAGCATCCACACTGGATGTCTCCCGAAATGCTGTAAACAAATGGGGTTGATTCCTGCAATTCCTGCGGTCTGTGCAGGCTCCGCTGTTGTCCAGGGCATGTTGCAGATTTATGGAGCAGTTGCTTCCCTCCCATCGGAGCGTGCTGGCACTTGCTGACTGATCCCCATATAAGGGAGGAGACTCTGCTTTTATGTGTCTCTTGGCAAATCGGGGAGGAATAAATCACGGAGCGGGGAGGAGAGGGCGGAATAAGGAGCGATACCTGCGCAGCGTCGTGCGCAGGTTGGGACTTTTTAACTCCATGAAGCATCTAAGAACCTCCAAGCTCAATCGTGAGGAGCAAACAGCACTAAAGAAAAAATGCAGATTAATTCCAAAGCCTTTGCAAAGATGTTAAGAAGACTTGGATGTCCTTAATGCTCACGGCAGAGCTCTCAGCCTCTTGCAGAGGTTTCCCGGTCGTGGCATCGCTGCCGCATCCCGCCCTCCAGCCGCTGGTTTTCCCTTCGCCAGGAAGAGGTTGAGCTTGACGGGCTGAATTAACCGGCGGTTTTTCTTGAGAAACCAAGATAAGGGAAACGCGCCGGGCACCCGCGCTGATACGGAGCTGTTTGCTGAAGTTCGTCCTTGAGCGCTCGCTCCCAACGTGACGCTTGGAGCTTTTTGCTACTAGGTCATTTTGGCAGATAATCAACCTTAAAACACTCCTGCTGCCTTCCATCACATTGCTCCTAATTGCCCTGGGCTGCAGCTGCTCTTCCCGTGGGTATTCCCACTCCCTGCTTTTATTTCCTGTATTTCTAAGATTAGAGCCTTCTTGTTTTATTTTGCTCTGACAATCGAGCCGGCCAGCTCTCATTATTCGATCCTTTTCCTAATTAATCCGAGGCTAAACCAAGCCTCATGTTTATATTATGTCTGGGTGCCACCTCTTCGTCCTCGACGGTTCCGTTGTCCTCGTGCCCGTTTCCCACGGAGCTGGCCGTGACCGCGGCTACATCAGTGGGAATTGATTTTTATTATTTCTTCGAGGTCGAGCTCATGAATCACTATGTCAACCCTTTGCCGTTAGATAGTTAATGTATATTTATGTGCCCTCTGCCCGGCGAGTTTATTTGAAATTCATCTCGTTTCCCATTTCGCTGTTAGCCGCTCGCAGATTAGATTTAGGTTTCCCTGCAATGTTTTGCTCTGTAAGCAGGACTGAAGTGGGTTGCCCTGTGCTATTTTACAGGGTCATCCCCAGCCTTCCCCTTCCAT